TATTTGTTTTGATTGGATTCGGTCGATGAATCATGTCGAGACTTGTTTATGTAACAATGCTGTCGAGTTCGTCATTCGCTTTCATGTTTACATTAGCTGATTATTGCATTTAAAAATCAAATCAACGACAAAGATTATACTTTCTTTCCAGTGTTAGACACAAACCAATTCAGTGAAGAATTCGAGCTCGGCTACGACACAGACATTTTTGTTCAATATCTCAATATTTTGATTGAAGCATTCGACTCACGATTTTCGGATTTAAAAAAATTTCATTTGGCATTCAAGTTTTTGAAAAATCCATTTGTTTTCAATCGAAATGATATTCAAAATCTGTCCGATCTTTTCAATATAAAGAAAACTCACTTGGAGTTTGATATTTCGCTAATAAATGAAGAAAAACTCATTGCCAAATGAAATGAGTGATGCATTGTGGAAGCGATTGCTATTAAATTGTAACTTTTTGGTGCTCAAAGATATTTTACCAAAAATTTCTTTGTATGTTCGGCTCAAGATATGTTTGTGAGAGCACATTTTCCAGCCTTATATGACGCAAAAACAAACTCCGCAATGCATTATCTCAGGAAAATTTAGAATCGGAAATTCGTTGCGAACTTTGTGAATCCAAGCCCGATTTAACCCTCAACTGCATAAGCCCGCCTTTTGGCGGGCATCATTTAAACACCTGTATAATGTGAATCGTACGGCGGATGACATTGCTTCAAGGGGAATTTTTATTTGTCAATGTTTTTTCTTTATTTTTGTCTTTGGCGTCATTTGTCTATGTCGTACGATTGGTGAGTTATAAACAAAAATGTGCACGAAAACGAAAATTTGACAAAATAAATTATTCGGTTTCCAAATTAGACATATTTTTGACACTTTTAAACAATGGATTTCATTGTTCTCTGACTTATTTCTATCGCATTTCCTGACTAAACGATGGGAAATCTAGGATTATGAATATTTTTTTCGTTATCTATGGCCAAAAATCAACCAAATACCAGTACTCCCAGTCCTAGGAAAAATTCATGCAGTTGAGGGTTAACTAAATTGACCGAAAATAAAAGTTGTCAACGATCTCATTAATGATTAAATAAAGAAACATCAAATGTTTATCGACATTTTTGGGTTTATTCTCATTACTTGAAAAAGTGGCCACCGGCTTGATCTCAGGGCCACTATTTTGGCCACAGCAGAAAACAAGTTGGACAGCACTGATTTAATGTGTAACATTTTATTTCAGAAAAATTTATTTTGGACGATTCATTTTGAAAAATGTTTGCATTTTGGAAATGTTGGCGCCGACCCCTCCGTGGGCGCTGCAGTGGCCGTTTGTTGCAATGCCGGTTTGACTTTTTTGGGTAGGTAACTTGGCAAAAAGTTTTTTTCTGTGAAAATATTGGGAGATACCATTCTACAGCTCATAAAAGTGATTTTTTGAGGTACCTCTCGAACAAAAAATGATAATTTCATAACAAAATCCGTAAAAATCGTCCCTTTTGTTCGACAAGTACCTCAAAAAATCACTTTTTGGAGTTTTTGTCTGGAAAGACTGCCCATATTTTTGAGTAAAAATAACTTTCTACCAAGACACCAACCATGAAATGTGTATACTTAGATTTTTTGAACAAAAGTCGATTTTTCAAGATTTGAAATTGAACCAACCGAATATGAGCCCAGAAATATATGAACACATCACTTGATCTGGTCATATGGGCACACAAAATGTTTGTGAGAGATCACACTAGAACTTGAAAGGCAGCAAAGGCAGAAATTGTTTGCTCAGTGAGGTAATATCACTGTTAAACCGAAGCTCATGGGCGTATTTTCCTCATTTTGCTTAAAATAGACTCAGTTTCGACACAAAAATCACATAAATCTATACAAATGAAACCGGAAATCAATTCTACGTCAAAAATTAAGTGGAAATAGCTCTTCAGAAGTTTCAAATTCGAAAAAAAACGGACTTGTTCGGCTATATATAGCGTAAAATGGCGACTTTTTGGCCATTTCCGAGTATATTTGAGACTGTAGAGCCACTAAATCAATTGTAAATTAATTGAAAACAGCCATTTTGCCATTTTTTATGTGCATCTTATGATCAGATATGAATTCCTCGTCAAAAATTAGACTAAATAAAGTCAATTTTGGCCATGCATTTGAGGTTTTTCGAGGGTCCAGAGGTGAGTTTTTGCGGAAAAGTAGCCAAAAATGGATACTTGGACGATTTTTGACCTACGAAGGCGACAAAATCGCGTTGGAATGATTGCAAATCTATTATTTTCATGTAATTTTTCGCGACAAATCCAAATATGATAGTTTGAATGCAAGAAAAGGGGGTATTTTTCGAGATATTTCAACGAATATTCTGAAAAAATCATCAAAAAATGATCCAGATAAAAATTGAGTGGGGATTGTGGGAATCGACTTTTCTGGATATGTCCCAGAACAAAAGTTTCTTCTTTTGAGGTGCCCAAACGAACGCGCAGTGTCCATTTTTGAATTTGTACGATTTTAAAAATCGCACCACCCTAATATACATGGATATTTCGGATTTACATGCATACCATTGAATTTCTAAGTTATTACTTGATGCGTGTTGATATAAAAGATGAAAAAAATGATTTTACCCCCTAGGTTTTGACCTATTATATAATATACAAATATTTGTTTATAATGGAAACCAATTGAGTTATGTCAATGTATTACGAAGATTAACTTAAATTGTTTATATTTTTTGGTCTCGACATAAATTGTAAATTCAAAACTACCAACAGGGACTTGTTTAGATTAGACCAATGCCTAATTTAACAAAAAATCATAACTACATTCCAACCCAAAATCAAAAGTTGAGGAGCAAAAAAATAAGTCATCACTTTTGAAAATCAATTCTTTCTAATGTAAACTTGCAAATCATAACTGCATTTTCTGATATTCACAACTGCATTTTTCAAATCACAACTGCAGGAAAAGACAATAACTCAAACATGTGCTTTAAGATTGCTGAGCATCTCAGCAATTCGTAAGGCACGGATATATCCGAGCATATCGACGACGCATACTGTATAATACAGTGGCGTGTGTTGCTACGTGCAGCCGCAACGACTCGACCGAAGTGTGTTCAGTTGATGTGGCTGCACGCAGCAACAACATACACATTCCGGTTGAGTCGTTGCGGCTGCGCGTAGCAACGCACGCCACTGTATGCTCGTCGATATGCTCGGATATATCCGTGCCTTACGAAATGCTGAGATGCTCAGCAATCTTAAAACACATGTTTGCAATAACTGCAGCTTAAATTGGGCATTGGATTAGACGTAAAACTTCTCTTCAATTCATCAGCTCTTAGATCTTTGATAAATTGAATGATGTCTTTTGCTGTTACTCATGCCGGTTTTGAAAATACACGGTTTGACGCTCCTACTGGCCTTTCATTTCTCGCACATTTAAGTTGGGCTTTTCTGGACCGTTGAAAAATCGGCATCCTACAGATATCTTCTCAAATGCGGTGTAAAAAAAATAATAATAAATAAGTATACCAGTAAACTCGATATGCGGAAGTGAGACACGCAGATTTTTGCTGAGTACTTTAAATATAATTTATTTCAATTTTGTCACACTAGCTATAAAGTTACAAATATGAAAACGATGAAACATAAATGCAATTGTTTTCGTTCACGAACTATCAATAACACTCTATTATTAATAATAAGGTTCAATAATAGTCTATCATTGCAACTGTTGGTTCGTGGATTCAATTTTTTCTAACTTTTTCAATGTATTTGACTTTTGTTAACGCATGTGAATGGTCTCGTGGTTGATCAATCAAGTTACTCCATCCTTGGCCAACAACAAATCCGATAGCGCGTTGTTTGTCTTGTTCTCGTTTCTCCTCTAAATCAGCCCATCGAACCTTCATGTAGAACATAAATAACATATTTTCATGAATCACATCCAAATATTCTTTATATATACATATTTTGTTAGTAATACAGATTTACATTTTCGATATGTTATTAATATGTTATTGCCCGACATATCTATTATTATGTTATGGTGGAAATTTTTTTCTTAATAACATTATTAAGATTTGGCATAATAATAACATAACATGTTATGCGTTATATCGGGTGTTATCTTAATAAATCCTATAATTCGGCGATAATAACATATTATTAAGATGGATTTATTATTTAAATTAATAACATATTATTAGGATGGATATTATTAACTTAAATAATAACATATTATCAAGATGCCATCTTAGTAACGCTTTTTTCGCGCATTTTTCAACGATAAATTTCCCGTGTTTTTTCTACATTTCCGTGTGTACAAAAAAAAATTCTGCGCTTTTTCTCCGACTAGATGCGCGAAAAAAAGCGTTATTAAGATTGTAACTTAATAATATGTTATTAATTGAGTTAATAATATCCATCTTACACAGCAAAAAATTAAAGTCTACATCTGGGCGTTTTTTCAGCTAAAGACTCATTCAGCCGATATTTCTGCTAGTACCTAGAGCTACAGGCGAAATTCCGCTTATAATATAGTCGGTATTTCGTCCGAAACTCCGTTTGCTAGGCAAAATATGGGACTGGGCGCCTCTACCAGTCGAAATTCCGCCTAAATGTGGAGATTTATTTTTGACTGTGTAATAATATGTTATTATTATAGTTAATAATATATTATTATTAGAGCCGATATCATAGGATTTATTGAGAAAACACCCGACATAACGCATAATATATTACGTCGATATCTTAATAACATATCGGTCGTTATTATTATGTTATGTTGGACCAATATATCGGCCGTTATTATTATGTTATTAAGTATAGTTAACACTATGACGGTTTTTGGGGGATCTAGGGCCCCAAGCGAAATTTAAAGTTGAATAAAAGTACTAAACAGTGTATAAACCAACCGGAGTTAAGTCTCATTGTATACATTGAACATTTCTCTACACGAATGACATATGCACATATGCATATGTGTGAGTATGTGTAAAATACAGCCTTCCGAAAAACATGTTACGCTGTAGTTCTTTGGGGACCACAGGGCCCCATGGCTATTTTATATTATAACTGGACTATAATAAGAGATATCGACTTGGTGTCTGTGGCAGTGTTGTAGACTAGTTTATGTACTACAACTTCGCCATAGACATCAAGTCGTTATCTCTTATCAGTTACGCGAAAAGCCTCGAAAACTTGAGCAGCTTGAGTAATACAACTTTACTACAGATAACCAAGACGTTATCTCTTATCAGTTACGCGAAAAAATGATAAGAAAAAATTCGCGTTTTTCACGGTTTTCGCTGCTTTTCGCGTAACTGATAAGAAATAACGACTTAATGTCTGTAGCATAGTTGAAGTACTTGACCAGAGGTACAACTTTGCCATAGACACCATCTCGTTATCTCTTATCAGTTTCGCGGAATACGCGAGAAACCGCAGAAAACCGTGAAAAAAGCGAATGTTTTCTTATCATTTTTTCGCGTAACTGATAAGAGGTAGCGATTCGGTGTCTGTGGCAAATTATAGGAGTCGACCAGAGCTACAACTTTGCCATAGGCACTATCTCGTTATCTCTTATCAGTTCCGTGAAAAATGATGAGAAATAACGCGATTTTTCGCGGTTTTCAGAGGTTTCTCGCGTATTCCGCGAAACTGATAAGATGATTTTCGGCAAAGTTGTAGAGCAGCTTCAGTACTACAACTTCGTTATAGACATCAAGTCGTTATCTCTTATCAGTTACGCGGAAACCGCGAATTTTTTCTTATCATTTTTTCGCGTAACTGATATGAGATAACGACTTGGTGTCTGTGGCAAAGTTGTAGTATTCGACCTGCTCTACATTTCTGCCGAAGAAGCAAGTCTCTTACTTCTTATCAGCTTCACTAAGAATAAGGTGCGAAAATTTCGCGATTTTCGCGGTTTTTCGCGTTTTTCGCGGAACTGATAAGGGATGAGCAATATTTGTTACAGCAAAATTATAGCAAACCTCGAGTATTACAACTTTGCCACAGACACTATTTTGTTATCTCTTATCACAGTCCAGATTTCATATGAAGTACATATAGTACAGCGCTGGAGTCCCCAAAGAACAGAAATAGGTAAAAAGTGTGAAGAACTGTCAAAGTGTCAATAATATGTTATTGCCCGTAAATCTGTAGTTAGTAATACTTACACGCTTCTTGCCATTAGTAGATGTTGGAGGCGGTTCCCAACCATCCATTTGTAAATAGTCTTCTATTGTTGTATGTTTCATTGGTTTATTGGTGCCATCAAGACGAGCTAATACAGAATTAATTCAATCAATTTAAAATGCAATTTTTACTTACATATTTGAGAAAATATTGCACATTTAACATTGCTCACCCAATTTATTTTCAGTTGTGTCGTTATCCCATTTACTTTTGAAAACCCCGAACTTAAATTCAAAAGATTTCATATATTTTTGTTGCATTTTTGAATATGCAGTATTGTATTTTCAAATGAACTCATGATATCTTATTAGAGTAGTTATTGGAAGAAATATATTTGAGTAAAAAGATGGTGATGTTATTTGTCTGGAACCAAATGTTTCCCATTGATAACAAACTGATAAGGAGTGCGAATTTTGATGTGGCGGTATCATCAATGGATTGAGCACACAAAATACTGCATGAGAATCGTGAAGAAATTTTTTTAACTTTTTTTCGATTTTTGCCACGCAATTGAATACTTAATATTATTAAATATTTACACATGGAAATATTTCGAAATATAATAAGCACTTCAGTTGGTTTGCGTTGTGGTAACATAGATAAAATTACTTTACAGATGCACATAAAAAATGAAGTGCTGGAATCAGGTCAAATCCTGAGAATCCATGGATCAGTCGAAATTCCACCGGATTTTTATTTTAGACCATCAAACCAGCCGGGTGTTAACACTTCCTTAAGAGAGTGACACCATGGTCCATTTTGCCGATTAACCTAGTCGTTTTCGAGATTTTTCCATGTGTACATTTTGCCATAGAAGCCAATGCATAGCAGCGGCGCTCCGAGAATTTCATACAAACTTCCCATGTAGACGGTCCAAAACAGGCAAAAATCGAAAAATAAAAGTTTAAATTTTTTTCGATTCTCATGCAGTATTTTGTGTGCTCAATGGATTATGTAATCGTCACATCGAAATTCGCACTCCTTATCAGTTTGTTATCAATGGGAAACATTTGGTTCCAGACTAATAACATCTAAAGGTGTCAAACGGACGGACTGTCCGTCTTTTTAACCCGTCCGTCCGTCCAGGGCTCTTGAAATTCTTTTTGTCCGTCCGTCCGTCCGTTCAGAGCCGCTAGAAATTTTCTTGTCCGTCCGTCCGTCCGTTCAGCTCCGGACGGACAAGAAAATTTCTGAGGGTCCTGGACGGACAGACGGACGGACAAGAAAATTTTTTGGGAGCTCTGAACGGACGGACGGACGGACAAGAAAATTTCTGAGGGTCCTGAACGGACGGACGGACGGACAAGAAAATTTCTGAGGGTACTGAACGGACGGACGGACGGACAACTAAATTTACAGGGTTCTGAACGGACGGACAACTAAATTCAGAAGGCTCTGAACGGACGGACGGGCAAAAATGGACGGACATGCAAAATTCTCATACAATATTTTTCACGATTTGAAGAAATTTTTTTTTTTCAAAAAATTTAAAGACAAAAAAAATTCTAAAAAATTCCCAACGAATTTTTTTCATTTACACGAAAATTCCCATCGATTATTCAATTGACCACGATTTTATCCAATTGAATGGTTTTCAAATAGGAACAAATTGAAATTTACACGAATTTCATAAAGAAATCGAACAATAAGATACATCGGTAATACCATCGGTATCAGCAATAAGTTTTTAAATTTCAAACACGGGAGAAAATCGAACGATTCGAACGAAAATATCGAATATACAGTAGAGTCTCGATTATCCGTCACTCTATTAACCGTCACTTTTGTTCACAGTCACCGCTTGTTGGAGCAAAAAAAAATTTCATTCTCGGTTCAAAATGAATCAAATTTACGACATTCGAAGAGAAAAAAAACTTAGCTCTGTATTGCATTTCGTCTGTACAATTTTTTGCTTTGAAAGGCAAAGAGACGATCAGCTATGTTTTGTTTACATTTCATTTTATAAACAAAATACGAAAAATAATTTTGTACGCGACATTTGCCATCGAATTGTGCAGCTATGATCGAGTATCGCACAGGTGAATCATGTCGTTTCGTGTTTGTTTTTGTATTTGTCTCGGCGCGCGATAAATAAAACGCCAAAAATGAAACTACACAACTGTAATTGATTTTGCATTTGGCATTGATTTATCGACAGTTCACTAGATTAATTGGTGCAATCCGCACTCATTATAATTCAGATCATCGTCCGAAGTGGTTCTGATTGTTTTTTGTGCCGTTCGTTCAGCAAGATTTGAAGTCGAAAGGTTCGCCATATGATTTTTCTTAATAAAACATTCATAATAAGCCATGAACTGTAGAGATTTGATACTCATGGCGCCCCCTACC